CCCCTGCCCAGGGCCCGGCGGGTGCCGCCGTGGGCCGCGCTCGGTGGAGCGTCTGCAGAAAGCTCCCGGGCAGCGCCGGCGTTTCCCTGCTCATGTCTCCTCTTGTCACAGATTACGCGCTGGGGAAGGATTGCATCATGCACGGCTACATGCTGAAATTGGGGAACCCCTTCCTGACCCAGTGGCAACGTCGTTACTTTTACCTCTTCCCAAACCGACTCGAGTGGCGAGGAGAAGGCGAGTCCCGGGTAAGTGAGGTCTCACCCGGGAGCAGCAGGTGCCGGGGGGGGTCGAGGCAAACCCCAGGGCTCGCACTCGGGCCTCCCTGCCACGGATGTAGAGTTTGGTCCAACTAAACGACGAGCAGCCTTGTGTAACTTACCTTGAGTATCCCTTTAGTTAACGGGTAGCTACACCACACTGAGGAAACAAAAAGCTGACTTGAGAAACCTGTTTACTTTGATTTATTATGTTTTTGAAGGAATTTGGTAGTTCATGGTGTTGTTTTTTGTTTAGGACCTCTGGACTATTTATACAAAAAAACGTAAACTGGTAAGGTGATAGATGCTATAGCATTTTATTTCAAAGAAAATGCTATAGTGCCTTTAGTTGAGTCCAGCTGTGATCATGTGCTAGGCAGATCGTTTGTGTATTTAGTTAATCAAGGTTTTGGAATTTCAAAGCCCCGTTGTCCTCTGACAGTCTATAGGGAAAGATTTCCTGCAAACTGCCGCGTGTGTTTGCTGCTTCGTAAGTACATAGTGCTTAAATACTCCCTTTCAGCTCTTCGAAATAGTAAGATTGTCTTTTTTTTTTTTTTTTTTTTAACAGCAGTAATACTTGGAAAATATATAAAATTATATGCAACTCCCTTGAGGGAAAAATAGCGAATATTTTGTTTGTAGACACACCTATTTGTAGATTCCTATTCCGTGCTGTCATTACTGGCTTTCTCAGCTTATATTTCGTTGTCTCTGTTGAAGCAAACAAGCCCCTTGCTCAGTCTCTCTCTTACCTTATAATCTATCTTTAGTTCATGACCCAGTCTTCAGAAATAAAGAAATGTTTGTGTAACGACTGTCAGCGTTCATGATGTGATTTATGGGGGTAGTCCAGAAAAACGAGATAGTAGTTTTATTTGACGGGCAACAGTTTTTTTTCGAATCATCTCTTTGCTTTTTTGCAAACACTACAGCAAAACCTACTGACAATGGAACAAATAGTATCTGTTGAAGAAACACAAATTAAAGATAAGAAATGCATCTTGCTGAGAATTAAAGGAGGAAAACAGTTTGTCCTACAGTGTGAGGTGAGACGCTTGTTTGGTTTTTTTTTTTCAATAACTGTTAATCAGATTGTTTTGCATATGATAAAACAACCGAAAAGTTTTTCAGGCCCTCCCGTTACATGTTTACTAAGGGTACTTTGTAAAGCAAAGCTGAACCTAAGCAAAACTGGGAAGTTTTTGTCACGCTCGAATTTTGAAAGCAGGAAACCTGCAGCTGTGCCAGTTTCTGTTACGGATTTCTACGGTATTTGGGCCAAAATGAGTTCAGTTTAATAAATAGCTAAAAACTTCCGAAACTTCTCAACCTGTGTGGGCTTCGGAGGCCTTGTTGGCAGGTGTCTCGCTGCAGTGAGCTGACGGTAGCTAATGTGTTTGTGAGGGAGGAAGTACCCGAGTCCTCGTTGCATCTTTGTATGTGCTTTACAACTGTACAACACGTACCCTACAACTGTGTTACAACCAGCTGTAGCTGCTGCCACCTTGCCTGGCTTCGGCAGGGTGATGGAGAAGCAAAGGGCCGCACGTTTTCGCTATCCAAAGTTACCCGTTCCTGTGGAAAATTAACATAAGTTGCTTAAAAGTGCTGTCTGAGAGAGAAGACGCTATTGGCAGTTTACTATGAAGTGCCAAACTGCTTCTGTATCTCTTTCAGAGTGACCCAGAATTTGTTCAGTGGAAAAAAGAGCTGACGGAAGCTTTTACTGAGGCACAGAGGTTGCTGCGTCGGGCCCCAAAGTTTCTCAATAAATCTCGCTCCACGGTTGTAGAGCTTTCAAAACCCCCGCTCAGCCACAGGAATAGCAACGGCCTGTAGGAGCAAGAGGAAACAAAGTTCACTTAGGGAAAGCGACTTGGTGAACGTGCTGAGTTTCACAGAATCCTTACGAATTACTTTGTGCCATCCTGGACGCGGGATGTGCTTAGAAGAGGAAGAATTAGATGTTTACAGCGTGGGATAACGTCAGAACTCTGTCTCTGGAGGTTGCGAAGACTCGAACACTGGCAAGTGAATTCATGCTCCCAGCAGTGGTGGAAATGACCAAGCGGAGAGGCTGCAGATTGCTCCCACGCATCCCACCCACCCACCCACCCCGGCGGCGTCTCGATCGTGGTCC